GACGTACCTCGATCCGCACAAAAATATGCAGAAGAGTAGTATGCGTACACCATAATGACACCCAATACGTATCAAGTCTAACCTCGATAGAATAGTGATGAGGCCAGGTTAAGACACCTACTAGGACATTATAAACAGAATAAAAATATAATAACGAGAAATGAAAAGCAGAGAAATGAATGATAACAAGCAGTTTAATAACGTAAACAAATGATAGAATTGTAAGAAGAGAAACAACAAGAAGGAAACAATTAGCGAGCACCTCAAATAATCAAATACAGACAAAACTGGTAAGACAAGGAAGAATAACAGCAACAAAAACGATCCAACCAATAACTCATTTGCAATATGAAGTGCTCAACAAGAATCACAACCGAGATACCACCTCGTATTCACATTTTACAATTTCAATCACAATCTTTTCTTATATCACCGTGATCCTTACATTTAGTTTTGAAAATTATTTTTTCCGAAATAGCTACCCGCGTTTTAGCCCACCTTATCACACTGCGTGGCTTCAAGTAGTTCCCCTACTAGCAACACGCATATTAAGCTCACCTTATCTCACCGTATGCGTATCAACCCCTAGCCTTATACCACCACATGCATATCAATATCATAGCATAATCAACACTCGCACCACAAGTGACCATATACCACAACTTTCCAAAAAAATCACCAATACTAATATTTCCACAAAATATAGCCTATGGCTCAACCACAATGTGTACAAGAATCTCAACAATTATATTATATTAAAAGCACGAAGGCCCTTAGCCAAATGTCGTTCGTCTTTTTTACCCTCTAAAATAAATTTTATATTGGACAAAATAGACATTTAATTATTTCCCTAATAATTAGGAGTTTTAAATCAACTAAATTTTAATTATTAATTCTTATTTCCATATTTAGATTATGTAAGAAATCTAATATTTAAGATCATTTAAATCCCACGAAACTAAAAACTGCCTTCCAAAAACCCTAACAAATCAACAAAGCATAATTCACCCAAGAAAGTTCTTGGAGGAAAAAAATCAAAGATTTATAATTTGGAACCCTCAACAACATAATAAGGTTGGTTATAAAAAAAGAGCATATGTGTTTTGTATATAGGTAGGTGCAATTCTCCTTATATTTTTGTATAGATAGTTATTTATTTGATAAATGTATAATTCATATATATAATTCTTTAGGACGGGAGTGTTGTTACAAATAGACTATATAACTACGTAAACTAATTATATTCATTAGCTTCTGACCAAAAATATATATATTCATTAGCTTGGAACATATCGTTCGTCTTTTTTACCCTTCAAATATCGAGTTCATATTGGACAAAATTATAATTTAATTATAATCCTAATATATAAGATTTTAGAATTAGTTGCATCCCTAATATTTAGGACCTTGTAAGAAATACTAATATTTGGAGTTTTAAATGAGTAATATTATTTTTTCACGTTTAGATCTTCTTGAAGTTGTAAAAATATTAACAACAAAAAAGAGTAATATTATTATTTACAAGTTTAGTCCTTGTAGAAGTTGTATAAATAACAACCATGATTCCCGAAAATATATACAAGCAAACTTTTATAATAGATCAAAGTGAAAATTCTATATGAGAATAATGGGTAATACTATAGAAGTTACCCCTTTCTTGAAATCACCTAAAATATTTACTAAATTTTTATATTGGACTTTAAAACCAATTAATATTTTATTATCTAATTTTTTTAAAAAAAATTTAACAGTGTAACATTATTGTAATTCCTTTCACGAGTCGAATGGGGAGCCCACAGGCCAGCGCCCGGAGCGCGCAGATGCCGAAGCACGCCAGAGGCATAATTTATTTGAGTTGTGATTCTTCTATAAATTTTTTATTAATTGACGCGAGATACACGTGCAACGCACGTATACAAAGACTAGTAACAAAATAAAAGTGAATATCACAACAAGAACAATATCTCAACAATTAACAATTTCGCCTCAATGTGATAACGATTTTTACAACTTCAACACCAATAACTCAACAAGAAGATATTTCATGAAATAACATCTCCAAGTAAGTAATTCAACAATTAAAGAAGTAACAAGACAATAAAGAAGCAATAACTTCAACTAATGAATATCAAAGCAAATTAGCTATTAAGAGGTAAAACAAATGTTAACAATACCAAATAAAGCATATAAGGGTATATTAACACATGTAAGTGTGGATTAACAATGAAAGATATAACATGTTATGACAAGTCAATTAAAGGCATGAAAAGAGTCTAAATAGCCTAAATCGATCAAATACCAAATATAGCATGTAAACTCACTCGTCACCTTGCGTACACGGCTTTCACATAACATAATTAGCACAAACAAACTAATTCCTAAGGGGTAGTTCCCCCACATATTATTAGGCAAGATACTTACCTAAACTAGGTCAACTCTACCCTCGAAAATAGCTTTTTCCCTAAAATTCTCCTCCACATGGCTCAAGTCTAACCAAAAGTGACTCAACGTCATTAACATATACAAGGGAAAGCAATTACGATAGATAAAGCTTTGATCTTTACAAAATTTTTAAAAAGTCAACAAAAGTCAACCACGGTCTCGCCCAGTCAAAACCCCGTCCAAGGGTAGATTCCGACTACCCATAACCTGACGAGTCCATAGATGTGATTAGTTTTCAAATTCGAGTCCAAATCGATTCCCAAAACTCAAATTCTCATTTTTTAAAACTTAGGCAAAATTCCTCAAATTTTCACTTTGATTCACATAAATTTGATGTTAAATCTAAGATATGTTAATGAAATATAGTTGAAAATTGATTTGAATCACTTACCCAATATTTGTAGATAAAAACTATGTTGCTCGGCCTCTCCGAAAATTATACCAGGTGCATGTCGTATCCTCCAAAATTTTTTGGAGGATCCGACACTAGTGCGGCATCATTTTGGAGAGTCCGCGCAACATAGGATAAAAATCTCCTCTACAAATCGCCTCTTACCGAGCCTAAAATTTTAAAATATGAGAAATGAGACTAAATCCTGACTTTCTAACTTTTTGTTCAGTTGCAGATGTCGCAATTACAAAAAATTCTTCGCAAATACGACAACGCGAACCCTATTCCATCGCAAATGTGAAAATTTCATCGCAATTGCGAACTACCCAGCTTAGGCCTAACCTTCACAAATACGAACAAGGTATCGTAATTACGACACCTGAGACCCCCTGCTATGTTCACAAATGCGAGGCTGGTGCTCGTAATTGCGACATCAGAGCACCAGCACACCATATTTTTTGTTTTCAGTCCAAAACATTTCGAAGCATGTCTGAAACTCATCTGAGACTTCGGGGCTCCAAATCAAAGGTCCACACAAGTCTAAAAAAATCATACGAATTTACTCGCGCGATTAAAAAACAAAAAAAAATATCTAGAACTACGAATCAGACACCAAAACGCATAAATTTCAAAGTAAAGTTCAAGAACTTGTAGAATTGCAAACAAGCGTCCGAATACTATCAAATCAACTCTTAACGATACCAAATTTTGCACACAAGTTCTAAATAGCATAACAGACCTATTCTAATTCCCAAAATCTAATTCTGAACCAGATAGCTAAAAGTCAATCTACGATCAAACTCCAAAATCTCAAATTGCTAATTTTTGGCAAATCAACACAAATCAACCTACAGACTTCCGAATTCAATTCTAGGCATACGCCCAAGTTCAAATCATGATACAAAGCTATCAGAGTCATCAAAATACTATTCCGGGGTCGTTTTCACAAAAGTCAATAATTAGTCAACATAAACAACTTAGACTTCTAAGCCAAGAATCAAATGGTCTAAATCAACCCAAAACCTTCCCGGAACAATACCGATCAACCCCGTAAGTCATAAAATCAAAATTACACATGTGTGAAGCATCGAAAGGAAAAATTTGGCACAAATACACAAAAATGACCGGTCGGACCGTTACACTTTATTTCTTTTCTTTTTTTAGTTCACGGGCCAAGTACATGACTAGATAACTGAAGCTTACTTCGTTCCAATTTATGCGATACAATTTTTGTTTAGTATATTTAAAAAAGTATAATACTCCCTCCATTTACTTTTAATTATCACTTTTAGAAATAATTTGACTTTGAACGTCATATTTTGCCCATAAAGAAATAATTTATAATTATATTATTATCTGTAGTATAGAATGGGAGCCTTGAATCAATAGTAAAGTTTTCTACGTATGACCTATAAGTTACGGTTTGAACTGAGAATAACCCACTAATGTTTGCATCAAGGTAGACTGCTTATATCACACATGTTAGGATGTGGCCCTTCCTCGAAATTTGAGACAGAAAAAGTAATTCAGTAATAAAATTAAATTATTACAAAATAAATTATTTAATTGAGAGGAGGTGAAGCAAAGTCATAATGAAACAGAGCAAGCTTTTGTAACCGTACTCCATTTGGGATATTGTTCTTTTAGGCGCATTGTGAAATTTGGTAAATACAGAATAATCGTACCCAAATAAAAAATTTTGGTATTTTATATTCGATATTTTGATATTTGGTTTAAGTTTATTAAAAAAAATGATACTATTAGGTATGATATTCAATAGTTAACAATAGAATACCGAAATACCAATATCGTACCAAAATATATACTAAGTTACACAATTCGCATATTATTTATAATAACATAAATATTAAAGTTCTAAATTTTACTTTTAGTTATTTTTATACTTTTCTTTTAACTTTTACCACTTTTTTCCCACTATACTTGTCTTTCCCCCTTTTTTTAGTTGCCTACTGATGTTTCAACCTTTCTCTCATCTAGGTTTAGTATTTTTGGTTTTCATTGTTTTTTCACTATATTATTTTCGCATTTTTGAGTATCTTACTTCAGAATATTACAATCTATGGCTTCATACACTAGTTAATATTCGAACAGAACAAATACAATTCACCAGACCGAATAAATCGAAACCGAAAGGAGAAAAGCTGAATCATATAGAATTTAATTATGTATGATATTGATATAACATTTTAAATTTTAAGCCTCAAACAAATGAATGAATCAAAAATTACAGTATTCACTACACTAGATTAGCTTCGTGTCCAATAGTAACCCTCTAGTCTACAGCGATCGATTTTCTAGACCAAAGTTGAACATGTAGATGTAGTAGGATCGTATAAAGCAGGAAGCAAGTATTTCCTTCCATTTGTACCGTGTGCATTGTAGCTTGCACCTGTAGTTTTGTCCACCAACAAATCTCCAGCATAGCCAGGGTAAGCACCTTTGGCATAGACACCAGGACAAGCAGAAGCAGCTTCCAGTGGTGCATCTGCCTCTCCCTGGTAATAACCATTTCCAAATGGGTTCGTCGCGGTTCCAGCCAATAAGCTAGCCAAGTTAATCACCATTCCGTCAATACCCACATCGTTGTTCGGTGCACCCAGTGGTGGGCTCTGTGGTCCGTAGATTGGCTGGTGGAATGGCCAGGCACAATAGCCAGGACATTGTGTCTCTGAATTACCAACCCAAATATAAGCAAATTTGTAAGTCTTGCCCCTAATAATAGAACCTTTAGAAGACCCATGGGTTCCACAGCGATTGACACAGAACCCATCGACTGCAACATCAGAGGCGGTCAAAACAATGTTAATGGCATCTTTTTGTTCACCCTTTGATGCCAATTGGACAATTTGTTTCTGGGTCAGTGATTTTCCTAGGGAATAATTTTCAATTAGCACTTGTTTGCCCAAATAGAGGGAAAGGGATTTTTTGGAATTGGCGAGATGATAGTATTTTCCAGTGGTCTTCCACCATTTGGCTACTGATGGATCGGTTTTAGATGGAGTTGAAGTAGAAAGGGAAGTGATGAAATCAGAGACTATTGCTCTTTGGGATGGCTTGAATTTACCATACCAAATTAAATTGACAGAGATTTTACCGGAAAGAAGTGCACCTTTGTGGTACTGCAATAGTTGATTTTGTGGGTCTTGGACTAAAGCAGTAAGCTTTCTTGAAGCAAAACACACATTAAAGAAAGAAATCAATAGAAAAAGTTCTAAAATGAAATGGTTCGATTTCCAACTGACAGAAAAAGACATTTTTCTTTTCTTTTAGGTACTTAGTAAATCTTTTTGAAGGCTATAGAGAGAAGCTAATGCTTTGATGGAAGTTTTGAGTGTTGTATGTAGTTTGGATGAAATGAAGGTGAAGAGAGGAGGGCTATTTATACAACAGGGAGATAAGTGTTCTGTTTGTAAAGAAGCTGCTGAGAAAGCAGGAAGAAAATGTGGAATAGTGGAAAATTGACTTTAAAAAAAACGCGTCATCATTTTCACCTACTGGACTACTTGAGCTAGCTGCTATGCAGCACAAGAGAGAGGTAATCTTTACTGCTTGACTTATGGGTTACTAAAGGATGTACATAGATCGGGTTTGTTCGATTTTTATTAAAATTAAATTAAATCAACTATATCGATTTAGATTGATTCGGTTTGTCGGATTTTTTGAATTTTTTGGATTTTTTTGTCACATGAATAATATGTCAATCTTACTTTATTAATTTTTTGATAAATAAATATATATTTAATAAAAATTAAAAAAATTGACGAACATATGGTCTATTAAAATATTCTTTTGGGAGAATTTTCTTAGTAGCACATGATTTATTTTTTAGTTGTCTGACAATAACTTTTCGTTGATATACAATTTCAAGGTTAACCGGATTTAATAATTAAATATAAAAAATAATATGATGCCTAAATAATGATATGTTCTATTTAATTTTCAATTATCGAAATATCACTTCAAGTTCGAAAAAGATATAAGAATTTAATAGATCTTGACATATGAATATGGAAGAACAAAGAGATTGACGTATTTCAATAACACTCGATAAGAAAGTGATCATACAAAACATTATTTAAAGTTAATAAAAATAGAACACATCATATTCTATTAAATATTACATCCCATAAGAGAATCCGAAATATTTTTAGATATTTTTTGAAGAAAATTCTATATAAAGTTTTAAAAGTATATATAAAAATTATATATTAATATGTCTGTGAGCACCTAATTTTTGACTATATTTGAATTTTTATCACCTTCTACTATGTAAATATTTTCAGAATTTAATATATATTTTTTAGCTTATATATATATATATATATATATATATATATATATATATAGAGAGAGAGAGAGAGAGAGAGAAATTATTAATAATTTAAAAGGTCAACTATTACTATTAGTATTATTTTTATTATTATTATTTTTATCTTTATTTTTAAATAAAATGAATTAAAACCGAAAATAAATAGAAAATAATTATTTTTTTTTTTAAAACAAATTTCGGATGGGAATTAAAAAATAGAAAAAGTAGAAATATAAAATTAAAAAGTAAAAGTAAAAGTAGGTTGAAATTGTTTAATAAAAAAAGTAAGAGAAAGTGAAAAATTAAAAAAATAAAAGTAAAAGAATGTGAAAATTTAAAAAATAAAAAGTAAAATAAAGTTGAAATTAAAAAATAAAAGTAAGGGTATCTGATTTTTTTTATTTTTTTAAAGTAAAAGTAATGGGAAATAAAAAAGGAAAAGTAAAAAAGTGAGATTTTAAATATATTAAAAGTAAAAAAAGTAAGAAATTAAAAAATAAAAGTAAAGAAAGTTGGGGAAATATTTTTTAAAAAAAATAAGAAAAATGGGAAGATGAAATTTTTTTTTAATTAAAAATAAAATAAAAAATAAAAAATAAAAAATAAAAATCTGAAAATTCCGAAAAAATTTTCTATAAATAGAAGAGAAATGTGATTGAAAAAAGAGGGGGAGAGAAAGGAAAAAAGAGAGGGGAGGGAATTGAGAGAAATATTTTTGCTAATTCTACGCTAAGAGAATTTCTATTCGTGTCATTCTTTCTTCGGCTTTCTTTCAAAAAATCTAGCAATCCATCACCCAAATCTAACCCCGAAACCAACTGGAAATCAAGCTAAAAAGAACGACAAAAACGAGCCGAAAACTCAGCAAAATAGTCCCCTTTTGTACAGAAAACAACAACTTAAAAGTTGAGTCGTCGAGTTCGAGCTCCGTTTATCGATTTTGATCGAGGCTCCATTTGCATCCTTGTCCATTATCCGAGCTTCAAAACAGTCTTGTAAAGGTCTATTTCTCCCATCATTGTTTTGTTGATATTACGCTTGAATATATAATTTGATCTTATTTAGCTTCATGCAGATTGATTTTTTTTTCTGTATTAATTGTTAGGTCTCATTAGCTTTGTTAAATGTTGTTACTTTCTTGTTTGATTAACATGAAGATTTATGGAAAATATAATTTTTGGGTACGTAGTGAATGTTTGAACTTTGGGGATAAAATCCATGTCTCCTAGTTGAAATTGAAAAATGAGGTTTGGACTTTAAAAAAAAGATGATTGGGCCTGGTGGTTGAGCTTTGCTTAATGAAACATGTACTACTACAATTGACTAATGGATAGTGGAGTAGGGCATACTCATTAATTGGCTTTTAAAAGTCAATTGTGCTATGATCAATTTTAAGTTATCTGGGCTAGAATAATTAAGAGCAAAAGGTGATCCTTTTCCACAATTGATTTCATAATTCATGGCCTCACTAATCTCAAATCTTAGGAGAATAAATAATATCCGAACCTCGTAATTTGTTTTAGGCGTGATTAATAATAAATCATTGTGACTATGGGTACGGTTCCCGTGACATAGTCACGATATGTAAACCCCAACTCAAGTGCGCGTTTCACGCGACTTGACTTCAACTTCGAATAATAATAAAAATAAGCATGTTGTAAATCGCGGGTGCGTTTCACGTGATGCGATTCACAATATATACAAATATAAATGAGTGTGCGACATCGCGACTTGTTCAAATAAGTTCCACAAATAATTAAAAACGGTTGAAAGTTAAAAATGTATAATAGGTTTTAAGCATGTATTAAATAAGATAATTAGGCCAATCATTAATAGTTAAGCGACCGTGCTAAAACCACGAAACTTGGGAGTGCCTCACACCTTCTCCCGGGTTAACAGAATTTCTTACCTAGTCTTCTATGTTTGCGGACCATAAATAGAGTCAATTTTCTTGATTTGGAATTTTAAAATAAATCGGTGACTTGGGACACCATAACTTATTCCAAGTGGCGACTCTGAATTAAATAAATAATCTCATTTCGATTAATGTCACTTTAATTGAAAAAACTCCCCTACCCCTACCCCTTGGGAAAAAGGAGATGTGACAACTTTGGCGACTCTGCTGGGGACGAACCCAGAATCTCTGGTTCAGGGTTCAGAATTCGAGCTTAGATGACTTTTATACTTGGTTTTTGTTTATTATCTGATTTTTTTACGTGTTTGAGCATAATGTGCTAATTGCTGCTCTTTACCGCTTTGATATTGCCGTGAACCGTATATAAACTGTTACGAAAACCCTTATTCTCTCTCAGTCTTCTAAATCTTCTGGGAAGCGTGCGCTTCGCGTGACTTCTTTTCTGTTAGAGTCATACCCTAATTTTAGAACGAGGATCAGACAAATTGCAAAGCCGGTGAAGCTTCTGTATTCCTGGTACGCTATCCCACTTCGGCTCGAGTTGTCCGCTCGGGTAAGCCAGGTCTAGAACAATACACCCAGGATTTAAACTTAGAATGACATAACCTCATGCCGGATCCCTAGTAGATACGTTTGTTTGCATCACGCGCATTTGACTTTGGGGACTCAACACACGGGTTGTGTCCGTCTAGGATAGGTGTACCCAATATAAAAGATCATCCTGATGCATTTTTACGTGCTACTTGTGCATATGTTTGTTTCGGCTTGCATGTTGACCGGTTTCTGAAATAGGGAAAGAAAACTAAAAAAACAAAAAATCAAAAAAAAAAAAAAAAAAAAAAGAGTGAAAGGTAGGTATTTGAAAATTTTCGAAACTCTGCAGAATTTTTTTCTTTAAAAAAAAGAAAAAAAATAAGCCAATGTTTACAAAAGTCATGTTTTCTTGTTGTGTCAAAATTGACCGAACTACGCGGTTCTGATTCTCACCGGATGTGAGATACGTAGGCAAACCTCATCGGTTCCGGTCCCAATTTTCAAAAATCCAAAAATATTTTTATTTAATTCCTTCTTTAGAAGTCTTTCCTTAGAAAATTCCAAATAAAAAAAATTAAAACCAAAAATATTTTCTTTCTTTTTAGAAGTCTTTTATTCGAAAAAACAAATCAAATCAAAATCCAAAAATATATATTTTTTCTTTTTTAGAAGTCTTTCTTCGGAAAAAATAAAATATAAATCGAAATTCAAAAAAATAAATTCTTTCTTCTTTAGAAGTCTTTCTTTTCAAAAATTCTCAAAAAAAGAAAAGAAATATATTTAAAAAAAACATAACAAAAAAAAAAATTCAAAATCCAAAAATATTTTCTTTACTCTTAAAGAAGTTTTCCTTTCAAAAATCCCCCTCCAAAAAAAAGAATATCAAAAATTTGTTCCTATTAGAAGTTTTCGTGGTCTGTTTTGTGTATGAGTAAAAACAAATAAAGAAAAAAAGTGTTAGTTTGTTTACTTTATTCCTTATCTTTCCCGAACTACGCGAGATCTGATTCATGCGGTGTCATGATACGTAGGCAATCCCCATCGGATTCGAGTATAGCTATAAACAAATTGAGTGAAAAAATAAACCGAAAAAAAATTGAGTGAAAAAGAAAGAAAAGAGTGACAAAAAAATAACAGAGAAAAAAAAGAGAAAGAAAAAGAAATCAAGATATGAAAAAAAAAAATCAAAAAAAAAAGAAAAAAAAAAGAGTCTCCCGAGATGGAATCAGTTCACCCTTGTTGGTGAATCATTCTCGAGCTTATTCTAAAATCTAGTCAGGCTAGGTCTACTGCAGTCATTAGCCCCGAACAGGCCAAACCCCGAGTCCCCCTTGCACCGAGCTGATGCTAGATGTAAATACCACTCCGGAGCAGTGGGATATGATACTGAAGATTGTTGGACTCTCAAAAGAGCAGTGGAAGAAAAGGACCCTAATATGATGAACAATCCTCTGCCTACTCACACCAATGTGCCATTAGTCGGAATGATTTGTGAAGATGAAGAATTTGATCCGGCATGGAAGGCCATTGCATCCATTGTCGAGACAGAAGAAAAGCTAAAAAAAGTTCGCCAAGCCTGAAAGTTTCTCATCAGACGG